ACCGACAGAGCACACACACACACACACACACACACACACACACACACACACACACACACACACACACACACACGTCCTTTCCCGTCCATTGAACACCACCACTGGTCTCCACGGTAACGAATGAAACTTCCAGGTAGCGTGCTCCTGAAAATATGAAACCCTTCAGACGTTCGCATATGAGCCCCTTTGCAGCCTAAATTTAGTCGCTGAGAAAGTTTGACAACACAGTTTCTCTTTAATTAATTCTCACTTGGAGCGCGTCGCCTTGGCAACCCGCATACTGAATCCCCCCGTTTCAAAATGACTGTCACTCAGTGGAAAAAGCCGCGTTACCGGTCTTAAAGTTTTAATCGGCAGGTCGCCATAAGGCAACATGCGGGCTGTTAGACAAGAAAAAAAAAACATGTTCACATAGTGGAGGTGATAAGACGGGGATAATGAGATTGTTTTTTTTAGCTCTCATGAATTCTTACCAGTATTGCATTTGTAGTATTTCAAAGAATTCCTCGCAAGAAACATTTTACTTATTTATCCAGTCAATGAATGAGCCACCGAAGTAGCCAACTAACCAGTGGATCACCCAACTAACTGACCAATTCATCAACCAACAAAACAGCCAGTCGACCAAACAGCCAAGTAACCGGGAAGCCAACCAACAACCTAACTAAACATAAGGCCTGATAACTAACCCAATAGCCCAGAAAATCATCTAGGCAACCTAGCAACTAAACAAATTAGCCTGTCAACGAATAAACCAACAATCCCAAAACATCCTCCTAACTTGCCAATAGATCAGCCAACAAACTAACGATCCAGACCAGCAAGCTAACCGAAATGCCTATCAGCTAACCCAACCATCCAGTCAGTTATCCAACTCACGAACCAACCAACTTACAATGACCCGAATAACCACTCGACTAACCAGCAAAAAAAACAGATTCCAACGAACTTGTCATTTCGCCAATCCACGGTCCTACTGGTCTACTCACAAAACGTTCCACCTGGAGATGAACCAACCGGCCAACTAACTAACTATAACTGCCTAGTCATAACCACACTGTCTGGCAAACGCAAGAGCTAACAAAATTGCAGATTTGGCAAATTCAGGTCCAGAAAGTCAAAACGCTGCCCCGACTTGCCCTCTCGTCACACGTGCTTTTATTCCAATGAAAAATTCTGCATGAAAATGCGACACTTCTGCCGGTAATAAACAAATGGGCATCCACACATTCTGTCTGTCCTGTTTATGTTCCACTCTGAGTTGAATTGTACAAAGTGACGTCATCTCTGCTGATGAAAGAGTCAAGACAGAAATGCCTGTAGCGGTGCGTCCTGTTATTTAGCGCCCCTGCGTCGCTGCCTGGCTTTTGGCATCCCCCGCGGGATCGAGTGCGGCGGACGATCCTCAAAACGCATCAATTACTGCCGACAGCTCGGCTTTCCTTCTCATCCACGCCATCCCGCGCCTCTCGCCATGAAACCGCCGCGGGGAATTGGGAAAGCGCATGCGACAGGCTCACTTGAAGGTGCGATTGTCTATAAAAAGCATGAAGTATGCAAATGAGGCAGGGTGCAGTTGGCCGTGCGTGTGGAACTTACCAACGAGCCGTTTCACCAATTAAACGATCTGTCAACGCACCCACGACATCAACGAATTACCCAACCACACAGCTGACCACTCACACACCCAAACACGAGCCAACTACCCAAATTACCCAACTTAGTTACCACAACTTACAAAACCCACCAACAACAATGCACCCGTGCAAACCATTTAAAAAAAACAACACAACTAACGACACAACCAACGAACCATTTTACCAATTGCACAATTACCCACCTAAAAAAAGAAAACACTGTATACAACTACCACCCAACAACTATACAACCAATCGGTTGTGCGTCACTTCATAAAAATGCTTCATATGCGCAAAATTCACAAAAATCTGAGGCGAGTGGGTGGTGGGGGAAGCAGCCGTAAAACAGGCCAAAATCCATTTGCCATTGCAGTGGTGAGGACGAGCAAGCGATTCGTGTGGTACCTTTCACACAGGACCCAGGAAAACTGGCAAAATCAAAGCGTTGCCTGAACATGCTATCTGTGCTTGTGCGTGTGCGCGTGCGTGTGCGTGCACTTTGAAGTGAGTCGAAAAGCTGCACGTGAGCTCAGTTGGCGTGCTTCTTGACGGCAGAAGGATGTTTGAGCTTCCGTCGGCCTGCCGGCTCGCTGTTGCGTCGCCACGCAAATATTGGAGGAGGCAAAGCACACACGTGCGCCCGCACACGCGGACTTGTAAGAGTCGCGACGCGCGTGATTATTTGCCGCTTTGAAGTGTCATGTCGATGACACAAGCATGTTTGATCTTTGCCGCCCTCTGGGAGGGGAAAAAAAAAAAAAATGATGCTAAACGGAATTAACAGTCATTCGTTGACTTGCCTGCTGAGCTCCTTTGAACGCCGTTTTGTACTCAATGCATTTGCAAATGATTTTTTTTTCCAAAATATAGCTTGCGTTTAGACAATTAAATTTTTTTTTTCTTGCAAAAATGGGAGTTTTTATCTGGGAAAAAATTGACTTTATTTTCCTTCGATTAGATTTTTTGGGGACAAAAGTATGCACATTTTTCTCTTTCTATCATTTTATGTATCATATTAATTGAGCATCTACATATTTTGCAAGACAAAATCCAGAAGTCACGGCCCATGTATTTTTTTCTGCCCCCGCCACCCCCGCTCGAGATCCGAGTTGAATGTGTTCCCGTGACCACGCTCGCACCTCAAAGAAAATTAGCACTTAATATCTATTCCATTATCCAAACTGCTTTACCGCACGAGAGTCGCAGGCGTGCAGGAGCCAATCCCAGCTGCCATCAGGCAGTCGGCGGGGGTACACCCACAACCGGCCGCCAGCAAATTGCAGCACTTAATTGCAGGATTTTAATTGGAGTCCAAATATAAAGCCTTCGTGGAGTTCCTGCTGACTCAATGATGCAGCTTACATTATTATCTATTTCTAATTCAAATGCGATTATTTTTTTTTTTTTTCCCTGTTCCTCGACTGAATTTTTTTTTTTTCTTTTTCTCTCCGCGTCCTTGCAGTGAGTCATTTCGGCTCATCATTAGCATATGAAAGTGGAAGCTGTCGAGCGGCATCAAAAAGCACAAAGCAGCTTTTCATGTCGACTTCACAACGTGTCACTCTGCTGCTGTCACTCCAAATGCTCGACAAGCAAAGTGACATCGCCTTCCAACGGAATGTTTTCATGACCACCATTACATGGTCGGACCCTTAACGAAAAAAATTCCAATTCATTTGGCTAGCTTGTAAAATTATGAGTCCTCTATTTTCCGAGCATAATGTCATCTGAGAGAAAAAATAAGTTATATTTTTGAATGGAATAGAGTGATTTCAATCGAACTTTGCCATTGTTACAACAGTCCTTCCCAAATAGTTGGGCGGCCTGCCCCCAATGTGACCCCAGGGCATATGCTTTTTTTCTGCTGTATGAGAATAAAATGAATTTTCACATCCACTACAGTAGGTGGCAGTAGCGCTCTCATTGCCATGTGCACAAGGGAGTATTAGCACAAAGGTGTATGTTGTTTTTTGGGGTTTTTTTCCTCTCTGCGATGCAAAACCTCAACCAGAAGAGATGCACGTTGACAAATTTCAGTTTTTGGCGATTGTGTGTGATGTGTTCACTAGCCCCACCTTCAGGCCATAGACGCTGCCCCTTCGCCAGTCAGCGGCAGCACCTTTAATGCCACAGCTGCCGTCATTTGTCATTTGTGTCACTTTGACGTGAACAACTTCACCCTGGGATCCACTCAGCGTTTGTTAATCAATCTTTTAACTTGAGTGCATTCTTCCACTCGGCCACAGCAGAGAGTATAAATAGATCCTGTTGGCCCTGAACACTGCCGCCAACATCTGTCCCATCCGTGGGGCTCCCTGCTCTTTTTACATCCGCTTCATACCCAAGTTCATGTATGACCACAAAAAAGACCAATGTTTGGGTAGCAGAAGAAGAAGTAAATGCCCAAAAAGTATTAAATCTCACCCAATTTCTTATTTACATGAAAAAAACGCAAAATCCAAATGCAAACTATCCACACACGTCATACCCTCCTGCCACTGTGGGGACCAAAGGTCCAAATTTGTCATGATCCTGTCCTATTTGTTTTTTCAGTGTCTGGCAGGAGTGGAGGGCGTTCCCCTCCAGAGCCGCACCTGTCACTAAACTGCCTCGTTATCCAGCTGCCTTTATAAACCCAGCCAACACCCGGCTGTCAGATTTTTAGTCTTGCTCACGACTTTGTCTCCAAGTGCTTAATTTTCTAGGAGTTCTTGACATCTTGCCACATAGCTTTCCGCCACGTTAAATCATCGTACTTTTCTTGTGAGTATCTCTTGTTGTGTATTCTCGGTTTGTCAACATCAGATTTTGAGGTCTCTTGTCCTTTGAGGTGACAAGCAGTTTTCATTTTCTCGTTCTTTGCCTTTTGCTAGCGTTTTTGGTTTGGTCCATTTCATACCTGCCCAGTGCATACCCACCAAATTCATACTCGCTCACATTCTGCCCATCCACTTCCGAAGCAGAACATTTTTATCCATGAAGCTCATACCCGTCCAGGTCATAACACCCCATTGTTATCGACACCCACCCAGTTCATATCTGCCAATCGTCAGGCAGATCATTCCGTTCATCCTATCACGGATGCTTATGATTCCTGAGGTGAGCGCGATCAGGAAGAAGGAAGCACTCGGGGAAGATGAAGGACCGGATTGGGACGCGGCGCCAGTCGCTGACGACTTGGCAGCTGGCGCCTTTTAATTATAAGACGAGTTGGCGTGTGTGCGTGGCTTCAATCTGCTGCCTCACGCCCACTCGCTCCTTCACTCTCTTCTTTCCCTCTTGCCGCCCCAAACGCTTGCAAACCTGATTTGCAAATTTCCACTTGCAAATTTTGCTTTAGAGCATAACTAAAGCTATAGACCAGCGAAGGCAGTTCTTTTGCGGCTGTCTGCCTATTTTTCTTGAGTGAGAGTTGACTGTATTCCAAGAATGAGGGTCTGGAATGGATGTGAGCGGGCATCCGCACGGCATCTCCTTTGACAGATGAAAAAAAAAAAAAAAGAGAGACACTTTCCATGTGAGGGATGATGTTTTATGTACAAATGTGATCCCCTGTCGGAAAACTTTGATTCACCCGCAGCCGTTCATTTTGCAAGCTGGCCGGCCGCCATGATGGATGAGACGGGAGCGGAGACGGAGGGGGATAAAAGATGTCCGCCGCAGTCGGAGAGGGCAAAGTCGTCACGGTGACTAACGGCGCAACCAGTGGGCGGGGGAGGGAAAAAAGAAAATAAAAATCAAAACACTCCATCGCCATCCTCTTCGCTTGCTGTCTGGCCGTTTTTCCGAACGGCTCAACGCTCGTCGCCAGTCAGCTCGTCGGTTTGTCAATCGACTTGTCAGTTCATCAGTAACATTTACTCTGTACGTGATTGAATTGGCAGGTCAATCAGGAAAGTCTCCTGATGATGTGTTCAAGGTGGCTGGGAAATAGCAAACGCGGCGTACGCATTGTCGAGGCAGGCCCAATCAAATGTCTACTAAATGGCTTCCTCGTCTTCATCCCCAGTCGAAAGATGATTATTTTTTTTCCAATTGTGACGTATTCGATTTTGCAGTGCAGTTTGGTGCCGAATGATGAAAGCCGAATGTGTCCCACTTTGACGTCCTACATAGTCACTCGGCTCTAAATAAGTAAACGGACTTCTATTTCACATCGCTTCTTTTTTTTTTCTTTCAAACTTTTATCATATCGTAGATGTATTTATTATTTTTACATGACGAGTGTGGGAGGGGGTTTGTGGGGGGTGTCAAGCTGGCCCATTTTGCAGCACCACAACCCACTTGCGTGTGCACGTGCTGGCACACGTGAAGCGTGATAATGATCACATTCATTGATCAGCTTCATTGTTTCAGACTGAGGTCTGGAATGACGACCGATTGGTTCTCCTCACGCTTCTCGGCCTGGTTGCTGCCGTGTTTCTTGACAGGTTTTTGACATCATTTTTTGGACTTTGTTCTGTATTCTCTCATTGGACATAATTGTGACCCGTGTTTGTAACCGACCGTGTACATTTGGAGACAATTGTATGTCTGAAAGTGTCTTTTGAGGTCATAAAAACGAAAAACGGGACCTGATCAAACGGCGTGGCCTGAAGGACCTCCGTTCCCCACATCAGCAGACTCGCACGCAGTGCAACACGCGCGTGCACGCACACACATTAGGCTGGCGTCGTGGTGTAATTGAAGTCGACAGTGGTGAAGCGGTGAGGAGAGCGCGGCGTAATCAAGGAGACAGACGAGCGAGCCGCGCACAAACCCGAGCATCAAACATGAATGCCGAGGAAGGAAGGGGAACCCAGCCACGCACGCCGACGGACGGACGGGATGAAACTATTCGTTGAATTGCACCTGCACCGGTCTGCCTTTACACACGTTTCTGCTTCTATTCTCTTGACATTGTGCCGCTCCTTCTGATGCGCACGCCAGACACAAGACATACCCATAACCACATTTTCAGAGACAAACGAACCTGAGCGGGCCGTGCTTGGTGCACGCTAAGTGTCGGCGTAACCGCCGTTGGGTCCGTTGTGACTGCGTGTGGCATGTTTGTGTGAGGAGTGAGCCAGCAAGTAGGGCGGGGAGGGGGCGCGGGGGGGTGGTGAAGAGGAAAACGCCTGCGGGCAAACGCAACAATCTGGGAGAGAAAAGATTACTTAAGAAAAAGGAACGACAGCGAGGTGGAAGAATGGAAAAGACGATAAGGGCGAGGAGGAATGGATGGACACAAGGGGCGGGGCTAGTTCACACACATCATACGCACACAAACACACGAGAGGATGACGAGACACCACAAACACTGACAAAATTACACACACATGCACGCACACACCTTTTTCAAAGCCTTATTGATGCAGTGGGCCAATTTTTTTTTTCTTTCTTTTCGCCCAAATCCCCATCCAGCGTTCGTGTGAGCCAAGTCACAGCATCACCATCGTCGTCGTCTTCCTCCTCCCCCTCCTCCTCCTCCTCTTCTTCTTCCTCCTCTCGTCACACTTTCAAAGCCGTTCTTTGTGTTTCGTCGCCGCGTCCCAAATCCGACATTTTATTTCATCTTTTTTTTTTTTTTTTTTTTTTTTTTTTTAAAGCAGTCAGAATCTCCCGCAGCTTTTCCCACATCCTCAAACATCATGCACGTCTCCTTTGAAAAGTGCACCCGTAGCACTTTAACTGTTATACAAGTGCAAAAAGATGTCAAGCACTGGTCATATTGAAAGATTTAAAAAAAAAAAAAAAACGATTGTTCCGATTCAAATATCCACAGAAAGTAATCCAAGTTGAAATAGTCTGCGCCAGGGTCAAACTGTGGTGCCTTATAGGGGATGTTTTGAAAAAGGTGTCTGGGATATTGCCTGTCCCCCCCGGCTAATTTGACTCTCTGGAGAATGCCAAGATCTGCTGCGATGTAGCTCATTTCCCAAAGCTTGTTATAGATTTTTGTGTTTGTTTATTTGTTTTTTGTTTTTTTTCTTTTCAAGTTGCCATGAGAACGTCTCCTTCACCTCTGTGATCTTTAAAGGAAACTTTTTGCATTTCATCCGCCTCCGCAGTTCAACTCTGCCACAGTGTGTGCAATTTTTATTTTGAAAGTCTTTGGGTTTTGTGTACGGGAGGCATTCTTCAACGACATGCTACAGTGCGCTACAATCTGCTTCAATGTGCTTCACTGTACTACACGGTGCCACGATGCGACAGAATTTGATCTAATCTCCTTGAATGAACTACAATGCGCTACAATTGGCTACAATGCATGTTGCAATCTGTTACAAGAAGCGAGTTGTTTGGAAGGTGCTCCAGTATTGATTCGCCACTCAAGAGGAATTCATCTCAACTAAATGACGCATTCATGAAAACTTGGACGTTGCATGTACTTGCTGAATTTCAGTAGCCTACTGCTAGTTCTGCTTACCCGAATCTATCTGTATGACTGTAATTGTATCTATCTGGACTATTCAGTAGTTATTTTTATCTAGATTACCTAAAGTAGCATATTTAATATTTCTGTCCGTACTACATTTACAGTTTTTAAGAAGCAAAAAAAATCAATTATGAATTAATATTTAAAATCCAATCAAAGAATTTCTTCGTTGTTGTTGTTGTTGTTTTGTTTTTGTTTTGCAAATGTATGGTTCTCACTCAATTCTTGGTACAATGTAAAATACATGCATTTAAATAACCAATTTAAGATATACAAAAATCACTCAATCCAGTTGACAAGACCGACTGACACTTTCCTTGTAACACAATTCTCACTATTACAGTAAAATTCAAAATTCACCTCTGTTGTCTGACATATTTCCTGTCTGGAAAGCTAGTGGCCACATCGGGCTGTCGTTGGTTCCTTCTCTACTTTAATAAACAGTATTTAATGCTTAAAATTGTTACCAGAAAATAAAAATCACAATCTTCAAATCATCTGGGATTAAAAAAAAAAGTACAGTAGCTGCGCAAGAATGCCTGCCGTGTTTGTGTTGAGCAGTAGGGGGCGTGAGAGAGGCATTTAGGCGGGGTACGGAGGTGGAGGGGGAGGAAAAGAAGGCGGAGGCAAAAGGAGGAGAAAGAGGAGGCGGTGGGCGCTCGGCGGGGGTCTGGCTAGTCAGCTGAGCGCAGAGGCTCACAGTTCAGGCGAGGCGGGCGGCTGGAGGGATTCGAGATCCCGAGAAACGAGCACGTCATGCGGCCAGTGTGGATCTGTTGGACGCTCATGGCGGCCCCGTTGCAGGTACACGCACACACGCCGGCGCATACACATACACATTGCGAGACCCCCCCATCTCACCATCATCGAGCCCACCCGGCTGCAGCATACGACAGAGATGCTCTAATAGCAGCGCTATTGTGAGAGTACAGTATGCTGGGGATGAAGGGGGCTGGCGACTGACCTGAGATCGGCTCGCCGTGATCGTGAATCGTTTGTGTCGGAGTGCTTGCTGCTGATCTCGGGGCAGATCGCGACGATGGGTGATCCTGTCATTCATTTTTGACATCCCATCTATTCATCCTTTACATTGAGGCGGCTGGGGGGTGAGGGGGGGGGGGTTTGAGAAAGCAACACACACTGAAGAACACAAGCACACACAATGATTCGTGTTAAAATCTGTCGACTAGTTTTGAGTTGTCTCTCCGTACTAGTTTACTTGTTCTCTCTGTCTTAATAGTGATGTCCATCCATCCGCTCTACATTCGTTCTAACTCGACAAGGTCTATACTGTACAAATTCGACTGAGCTAATGCACGTTCTTTCCTAACTAGCGCTACTAGTTCTTTTTGTCTAGATCGCTATTTTTTTTTTTTTTACTATTTCGATCTGTTTCCTAGATTGTTTCGTGTTTACGAGTTCGAGTAGGTATGCTGACTGCTTCTGTTCAGCTCGATATCTAGCTGGACTGGTTCTAGCTATATTTAGTTTTATCTATACTAGTTGATCCACAGTATATTTGTTTTGCCTCGAGTATAATAATATAGTAATCGATGCTTGTTCTATCTTGATGAGTTCGACCGATAGACACCGAGCCAACCTTACTCGTTTGAAAGCATCTTTACTAATTCTATCCATCTTTACAAGTCGTACCTATATTGTCTATGGAGGTATATTTACTAGTTCTGTGTATCTCGACGAGTACTATGAGTCTTGACATCTTGGTCCTATTTCTACAGGTTCTATCTATCAGACTCGCTCAAGCTACAGTATGTCTTTAAATATACTGATTCTGGGTATCATTATTAGTTCTATCCGTATTCATTCTATTTCGATATTTTTAGTCATTCTTTTACTTTCTCTATCTATACTAGTTCTATGTCTTCTATTTCGCTGGATATCTAAGTCTTGTCGTTGTCGCAGTGTTTTGTAGTTCTGTCAATGCTATACCAGTTCTGTTTATCTTGACAACTTAGATGTATCCTTCCTAGCGATACCAGTTGTATGTATGGTACATTTACTTAGTTCTCGCTTCCATTTTTGATACATTCTGGCTCAGAGGTAGAGCGGTTATCTCCCAACCTGGCGGTTGTGAGTTGGATCCTTGCCCCTTGTGACCATGTCAAAGTGTCCTTAATAAGCAAGGTCCTGAACCCCCAGTTGCTCCTGATGCTGCGTCATCAGTCAGTGAGTGAGAAGCCGGTGTGAAGCGTTTCGAGTGCCTTGTAAGTGGAAAAGCGCCTTACAAGTCAAAGAAAGACCATTTGCTAGCTTATTGCTAGTGATATTAATCTATCTGTACCAGTTATCGCCACACTCTTGTTTCGCTACTGTCGTTCTTTCTTTCACTGGTAACAACCATTAGCTTTGTGGTGTGACGCCGGGGGGGGGGTCAACGTAAAATGGCTGCCATGTGGGTTCCTATGAGATGCTCATTACCTCAAATGACTATGACTTAGGTTGTCATTAGCTTTGAGCTTTGCCTAGTTTAGCTAAGCTTAGTTTGGGAAGCAGACTTGGTCGGACAACGTTTGTTGGCTGGTCCATATGTGAGCTGACTTCCTGCTGACATAATCCGGCTAGGCTAAATCCAAGTTTTTGGGTTAAGTGGAAGCAAATCAGTGGCCATACTTTGACCCCCCCCCACCCCCCATTTGGCCCCTACTTAATCGCACCCCCCTCATCCCCACAGACGCTAACCCGTTAACAAGCTGCAACAGATGCTTTACATGCAAGCATGTCAGACGGTGTTGTGGGGGGTTGTTGGGGGGGGGGGCGCCAGGGTCCATGTTGAAAACAACAGGAGACACGCTAATGATCATCACACTGATCTGACCTCATTAATTGTGTGCGCTGCGGTTATTATTCCCACAGGGAGGCTTGGCTTTCATTAGAGTTTGTTGCTTACTTCCTGTCTTGCAAAAGCTTCCATCTCCTGACATCACTGATACCATTAATTTCCCCTCCCCCCGACCCCACCTCCCAAAAAAACCCACACAAAAAGCCAAAGAAAAAGCTAAACACGCCTTCCGCATCGTGGTTTAATTGTTTGGGGAGTTAGTCGTGTCGTTGTTGCAGTTTGGTCGTTGTTATTTGGGTCGGGTTGTTTGATTGGTTGGGAAGATGGGTGGTGGGTGGGTGGAGGGGGGGTTAGTTGCATTGTTGGTTAGCTGGTTGGGTTATTAGTCGTGGTGCTGTATCATTGGTTGGCCCATTGGTTGGCTGGATGAACTCCAAATCGGGCGTTGTGTCTCTTCTTCATCCCACATTTGTCTTTTGCTGCACGCAGGTGGCGGTCCTGGGCGGGCCGCCTTCGCCATGCGTGAGAGGCTTCTCGCAGGAGGAATACACGGTGGAGACGGAGCGAGAACTGGAACAGGGACAGGCCGTCGGCAACGGTCAGTCTCACACGCACACACACACACACACACACACGCACGCACACAGACGGAGTAATAATCCCCCGCTTGTGGTTGGGGGTGGGTTGTTTAAGCGCAATGCCGCCATTTGAGCCACAATGGAGATTGACGGAGAGGGTGGGAGGCTTTTGCAAAGACTGAGAGTGGAGTGGGATTAGGCGCGTCCGCTCAGCAGCCCACACATGCTTCGGATGGCTGTGATCACACACTAGCGCACACACACACACACACACACACACACACACACACACACACACACACACACACGCATGGACGCAAGAAGACGCTATATGTGCACAAATGCACATTTACTCATCCCCAAAAAATAAACAGCCCCCAATGTTGCACGCACACCTAATACACACACGCATTCCGTGTATTTCTGCTTTCCATGTTTTGAGGCTTTGGCGGGCTCATCTTTGTTGCGCAATACTTGAGTCGAGTACCAAACAAGTTCAAAGTTCAGCAGTTCATTGACTTGACGAAATCCCATTTCATCAGTTTGGCCGAGTGAGCGCTCAGAGGTGTCCGTAAACATGCCCCGAAACAACAAAGCCTGGGATTAGTTCCAGTCACAGCGCGTGTGTGGTTGCCAAGTTGCGACATTTTTGCCTCATTAATTGCATATCATCATCACCGGCATATTTTAATATTCATTCATTGTTTGTGTTTTTTGTTTTCTTCTTTTTTTCTGTGCTTAGCGAATTCGTTGCAGTGCTTTCAGTGAGCTCTCTGTGTGTTTACCATTTTGAGGGTGAATGAGCAATTTCAAAATGAATTTTAGCAACCTTGTCTTCGTTTTTTTTTTTTTTTTTCATCAAGCAGTTATACATTTTCTTTTTTTTTTTTTTTAATTGTAAACAGTTTTTAAGTGAAATTGAATGTGGTCATGACAAATGCTTTTGTAAAATAGAAAATAATTGAAAAAAAAACCCTCTTTCTTTATATTCAGGCTCAACAGATTTTTATAGCCTTTTTTTTTTTTTTTTTTTTTTTTTAAACAATCCAAACATTTTAATGTGATGTGGAAATCCCCCCCTTCTGAAAGTCCCAAACTCCCCTGTGGATGCCAAGAGCGTGGAGGCTGCTCAACTTCCAACTTTCACTTGGAGGAAAATACATGAATACATTCATGCGTGTGCACGTGTGCGTGGTCGTGTGTGTGTGTGTGTGTGTGTGTGTGTGTGTGTGTGTGTGTGTGTGTGTGTGTGTGTGTGTGTGTGTGTGACTGCGCGCACTTAATCACAGGCATGCAAATATTTGGCTCAACTCAGCAACAGGATTTAAAAAGAGTTTAAAAAAAAAAGTGCAGCTTATGCACAGTGGTGGCAGCTTAAGTTTAAGATTGAAGGGACTTAAATTTTTACATTTGATTTGCGGCATGAAAGCAGAAGCTGTTTGTTTGCACCAGGGAGAGATTACCTTTAAAAAAAAAAAAAAACACACACAACCACAAAAAACAAGTTTATGTTGATTTTTTTTTTTTTTGTAAATGAGTCTTTCAGAAAAGGGTTGAAGGTTCGGCTTTCAAGTTTGGGATTTTTTAGTTGAGATTTTGACGGTTTCAGCCAAGGGGGAGGTAGGGTTTCAAATTCGGGCTTCTAGTTCAAGTTGAGTTTTCAAGTCAGAGTTTGGCTTTTGAACTAGGGTTATCGTTTCAAAAGATGGTTTCCAATTTGGGTTTCAAGCCACTGTCAGGGCTCCAAGTTAAGAATTTTAAGAGCAGGTTATATTTTAAACAAGGGTTACGGTTTCGAAATAAGGTGTCAAGTTTTGTCATGGATTGACGTTAATGTGTTCGGGCTTCAAATTGGTTTCAATCTCAGGTTAGGGTTTCAAGATAACGTTGAGAGAACAAGTTCAGGTTAGAGTTTCAAAGTGGGGTTTCAAGCCGTAGTTAAGGTTTCAAGTTGGGGTTTTGAACCTGTGTTAACGTCATGAGTTTGTATTTCAACTCAGAGTGTTTTCAGCCAATGTTTTATTATTTTGTTTTTTTATAACAAGCATTTCTGTTTCAAATTAGGGTTTCAATTTAAGCTTTTTGATGAGGCTTTGAGTTTCAAATTTGGCTTTCATGAAACGAGCCGAAGGGTGATTGCTTCTAAAGGTTGAAAGCGACACTGCGGCAAAGTCTAGAAAATCAAGAACAAAGGGTCTTCATTTCCAGGGAATTTCAGCTTTGCTTAAAAAAAAAAAAAGAAAGTTTGAAACTGAAATTGATTCGATCCAACTTGTTTGGCTTTGAGGCGTCAGCCACGTGTCGCCCAGCGCGGCACAAAATCCCGGGGACTTTCTGACGGCACTTCAACTTCTTTTCACTTTTTGTTTTGTTTTTAGTCAAGGAAAGACCCTTCCAATAACAGCCTCATTGCACTCCAAGTTACACTTTGGAACTTGACTTTGGCTTTCAAGCCAGCATTAGGGTGTCGAAATTCCAACAGTTTCAAATCAGGGTTTTAAGTTCGCTTTCAAACCAGTGTTCAAGTTTGGGTTAGGGTTTCTTGTCAGGGTTAGCTTTTTCAAACAAGGAATCAATCCTCAAGTCCGGGTTGGGGTTACAAGTAAGAGCGATCAAGTCAAGTCAAGGGGTAGGGTGCCAAGAATCCGTTTTTCCTATTAGAGTTTTCAGGACAGCTCGGTTTAGGGTTTCGTGTCAGGGTGAGGTTGCCAAACATTGGTTAAGGATTCGAGTCTGGGTTCCAATTGAGGTTTTCGAGTTAGTGTTTCAAATGAGTTTGATGGTCTCAACTCAAGGTTGGGGTTTCAAACAAGGCTTGTGCTTACAAATTAGGGTTTCAAGTCCTGCTTTTAAGCCAAGGGCTAAAGTCACATTTAGGGTTTCAAGTCGATAACCTTTTTTTTCAGACCCAGACCAATACCAGTACGACTATTCACTCGTTGAGTACTCACCGATACCACGTACCGATACTGCTTCAACATTTAATGTATAACATTTAATTGAACACAAAATGTTGTGAATAAACACCTTACTTTCTGACACAGATGTCAAAGTATCAAACTGCCGCAGTGTAGCGCCAACTACTGCTGAGGAGGACTTGTTAGATGTGATATTTTTTTGCCTCAAGTATTGGTGGCTGGTATCGGCAGCCCCCATGAGTACCCGATATCGTAAACTAAGGCTGGAATCGGCCCGATACCAATACCCGGTATCGGTGCTCGCCCGTCCCTTGTGGTTAAGGTTTCAAATGTATTTTTCTCAACTCAACTTCATTTATACATTGAAGTGCTTTCAAAACAGCCGCGGCTCGCGTTAGGGTTTGAAATGTGTTCTTCAAGCCAGGGCTGATGTCAAAATGAAGCTTTCAGGTTCACTTAGCTGGCAGCCGCCTCCTGCACCAAAGAGGACGCCGCTCATTTTCTCGCCGTTAGCCCCTCAAGTAGAAGCGGCGGCGGCGGCGGCGGCGGCGGCGGCTGCGGCGGCGGCCACAAAACCAACAAGGCAAGACTTTTGCTTGGAAACGTCACCTCCAGTTGTCACCCAAAAAAAAAAAAAAACACCAATCGATACGCGGCTCTACGAGAATGTCAAGAGGAAGCTTCGGCTTCACTTTTTCGCCGGCAAACTAAATTGATTTGAACCTTCGGACTGTGAAAATCAAACCAAAGAAAAAAGTCGGTTCGGCCACAAAAGGTCAAAAAGTGACTTTGGATTGATGAGACCGGCAAAAACTCTCAGTAACACAAAGCTGAGCTTGTGCGTGTGTGTCAATGTGTTTGTGCGTGCGTGTGTGTGCGTGTGTGTGTGTGCCTTCGCGCCTGACTGAGCTTGTCCAGACGCGGCGAAGTGGAACGAGGCAAGAGCGTCTGCAGCAGACACAACGCTGCGGTCAAACAAACGAGAGCAAAACAAAACAAAACAACAACAAAAAAAAAAAAACAGCAGGAACAGAAGCACTACCGACAGCAGGCCGTGTTGACATTATTACCGCCGTAACAAGTTGCGCTTTCAAATTAGGGTTGCAAAGAACCGATAAACAATGCTTCGGGTCGAAAGATTTTTTTTGCGAGTGTTAGGATGCAGGAAAAATCAGGTTGAGCAACCAGGAAAAAAGCTAAACAATAGAATTAGCATCTTGGAGAAACGTGTTGCAAATCAGGAAAATTTGGATTCGGGTTCAACATCGCCATGGAGCCGTCCGCCCAAAATCGCCGACCCACCGGTTAAGAATCGGCGCCCGAAGTTATCCGGGGATCGTTCGGTGAGCCCGCCCGCCCGCCACCTTCCAATCCGAACAGACGCCTCGCCGCGCCGCGAATGATTTCATTGGAACACAGCATGTGTGTGAGTTATTCATGAGAGAGAATGAAAGTGGCAGGGAAGCGCCTGACTGATGGCGGCGGCGGCGGCGGGAATGATGGGAAAAGGGAGTCAAAGGTGACGGCTAACAGATAGCCAACAGGAAACAGGAAGTGGAGATAATAGGATGAACTCAATTGTTTGAAAACGCTTACCATTAACTTTTACCAGTAGTGGGGGGGGGGTCTATTCATGGTATTAATGGCCTTTTGTGTTTGTTTTTATTTCTGGAAGACGCAGCACAACTCAGCATTTTACACTGCGCAACATGCCGTGGATTTATGGGGGGGGTTTTTTTGACCTCTGGACATTATTTTTCTGCGCAAGACAACGGTTATTATGAAGAAGTCACCGTGCCACGGTTTATTGTATAAAATGTTTTCGTTGTGAGCGTGGCGTTTTTTTTTTTTTTCTTTCTTTTCAGTGAATTATTGATTTTTATGACTTGTTGATCGCGCAGGCGTGTGTGAGCAAGCTCGCCATCGCCACTTTTTGGACGCTGTGGATTATTTGCAGTCATTCTTGTTTGTTTGTGTTATGCAAGGTGGCCGGGACGGTTGCATTCGTAATACTATGACACTTTTACTGTGACGCAGGGTTTTTTTTGGGGGGTCGTTTTGACTCTGCGAATTATTTTAGCGGTTCATTTTCATCGCGCAAG